AACCAAAAGTTGTACATGTGGCTAGTTGTACCCTCATCATAATTGTAAACGTTGTTAATTATCTAATAAAAAGCCCCGGCCATAGAGGTCACCTTAACACTGAAAAAAAAAAAAAATAATTAAAAATCTTATTAGTTATTTATTTATAAACATATTTTTAAATATTTTTACTTATAAATTCTAATACCTTTACTCATAGAAAATATATAGAGCTCTTCATATTTGACTTTGTAACTTGTTTTATCATTGCAGGGATCCAAGCTTACTTTGAGTATATTATCTATCTTACTAGATAATTCGCTTGCAAAATCAAGGTCTTCTTTAGATCCAAGCTTTTAGTAGCAAAATTATCTTTGACTATTATTGGCATATACTATTTCAATTTCATTTGCTAAAAATTGAACGCATTTAACATGGTTGTTTACATTGAATAATCTTGTCAAGTATAATGAGTACATTAAGTTGTTCATAATGAATTCTAAAAAAAATAAATAAAATAAAATAAAAATTAATAAAAATTAATATTATTAAAAAATTAAAAAATTAAATAGAAGTAAATTATAAAACATGAGACTTAAGGTTTGTAGCAATAAAAAGTAGAGATAATTAATTAATTAATTAATTAGAAATAAATAAATAATTAATTAATTAATTAGAATAAAATAATAATTAATTAATTATATAATAATTAATTAATTAAAATAAATTAATAACAAATTAAATAAAATAAATTAAATAAAAATAAATTAAAGAAAACTCGAGACTCAAGTAATATATATAAAATAGAATTAGAATTAGCCAAATAAATAAAAAATTAATTAGAAATAAATTAATAAAAAATTAAATAGAAATAAATTAAAGAAAACTCATGACATGAGTAATATATATAAAATAGAATTAGAATTAGCCAAATAAATAAAAAATTAATTATAAATAAATTAATAAAAAATTAATTAGAAATAAATTAATAAAAAATTAATTAGAAATAAATTAATAAAAAATTAAATAAAAATAAATTAAATAAAAACAAATTAAAAAGAACTCGAGTTTTCTTTAATTTATTTCTATTTAATTTTTATTAATTTATTTCTAATTAATTTTTTATTTATTTGGCTAATTCTAATTCTATTTTATATATATTACTCGAGTCTTGAGTTCTCTTTAATTTATTTATTTTTATTTAATTTTTTATTAATTGATTTTAATTAATTTATTATTATATAATTAATTAATTATTATTTTATTCTAATTAATTAATTATTTATTTATTTATTTCTAATTAATTAATTAATTAATTATCTCTACTTTTTTATTGCTACAAACCTTGAGTCTCACATTCTATAATTTACTTCTATTTAATTTTTTAACTTTTTAATTTTTTAATAATATTAATTTTTATTAATTTTTATTTTATTTTTATTTATTTTTTTTTAGAATTCATTACAAACAACTTAATATGCTCATTATACTTGACAAGATTATTTAATGTGAATAACTATGTTAAATGCATTCAATTTTTAGCAAATGAAATTGAAATAGTATATACTGATAATAGTCAAAGATGATTTTGCTACCAAAAGCTTGGATCTAAAGAAGACCTCAATTTTACAGTTGAATTATCTAGTAAGATAGATAATATACTCGAAGAAGTCTTGGATCTTTGCGACAATGAAACAAGTTACAAAGTCAAATATGAAGAGCTCTATATATTTTTTATGAGTGAAGATAAGTAAAAATATTTAAGCATATGTTTATAAATAAATCACTACTAAGATTTTTAATTATAAAATATAATGTAATACTTATGAAGAAGAAAATAGTGATAGTGACAGATCTGATAAGAGCAACATATATTATAAAAGTGATAGATATGATAAAGGTGACAGATATGATGAAGGCAACAGATATGATGAAGGCGATGGATATAATGAAGGTGATAGATATAATAAAGATAATGGGATAGATATAAAGATAATCATGAACAAACTTCTACTATAAAAAGCAACATATATCTATTAGTAATTAATTAATTATTTGTTTGTTTTATTTTGCTAAATATTTTTTTTATATTTTAGGTATAACAAAATCTGTATCTAAAATAATTAAAAGTCAAAATACAAACTATTATAAGGCCCAAGGAATTTATACCAATATCATAAGCAATTGTTTAATATTAGGTGCAATTGCTAATGATTCAAATATAGATAAAATAGAAATTTATTCAGAAAAACATAAAGCAGTACTTAAAAATAAAAAAGGAAGTATCACACTAGAGCTGATTAGTTGTATTTACATTAAAGAATTAGCAAATAAAATTCAATAGCTCGAATTTGTACTCTTAGATCTAGAAGATGCAATGGTTAATTCAGTAAGTCCGCTAGGCTTTTTAATAGAGTATGAAACATTTGAAAATAAAGTTCTTAAAAGAAATAGACTAAAAGTTGCAAAGTTATACCATGAGTTTTGATTATTAGAAGCAGGCCTTCTAGTTGTTGCTCTTTTTTTTGGTCCTAATTCAGGTGTACCAAAATCTGCATATTATAAAGAAATTGCTAAACTTTTAAAAGTCATAATAATGCAAAATTCTATCTCAATTCAAGTAGAATTTTACTATTCATCAATTAAAAGAGCTCTTAATTTAGAATCCTATTTAGAAAGACATAATATCTAAGAAACATTATTAGACATTGAAAATAGCAATATTCAAGAACAAATAATACTATTAAGAAAAGCACTACACTTATCTTCTGATATTCTTCCTAATAAACAAATTATACAAACATTAGAAGAAAAAATAAACACATTGCATATAAAATTATAATAACGAGTAAATTTATAATAAATTATTTACAATTGCTTTATACAAATACATGCCACAAGTATCAATACAAAAATATATATTTAAAATTTTATAAAACAACATATTCAAAGAAGCCTATTTATTGGTTAAAAAATATATTAGTAAAATATTCTTAAATAATCATCTTTTTAATATGGTTA